CGATATTTGGTTCTGCCCCCCACTACTTTATATTCGAATCGAATTGATAAGAATGTATATTCGAAATGACAATCATGAATACGGTTCGCCTGATATTGCACTCATGACATGGATGGATGCCAGGAGTTCTTGTACACGGGATGCATTCAAGTCTTGACTGTGGACACCGCCCTGGAGCTGTTGGGCGTGGCCGATCACTATGCATTGCAGGTACATACAGTAGCAACTCCATTGAAGCCAAGCCGTCGTCCATAATGATGATTCGTTGTTGGTGCTGATGGCTGCAAGTAGGATCTGTCGACGTTGTGCGACAACTTTCTCGCCTACAAACTCGATACCGAGACTGTGTGCCACGTGTTGATTGCCGCCACCCATTTCCAAGTGAGTACTACTTGCTGGCGAAGGTGGTTGACCCTACAGTACCGTTGTATAGGTGGACACGTTGAAGACCACGTGCATGTGCTTCCTGCAAGCTCATTTCACCAAGTGGTGTCGACGAAAGGCTTTGAAGAGCTGGGCGAGTTCCCGGCGGCGCTGCTGCTGGAAGTCACGCGAGTGTCCATGCTGTCGAGTCATAAGCATCATAAAATCGGTTCGATAACATTACAATAACAATGAATAACGTGTGTGCTTGTTGCCTGGTCGGGGAACATTTCACTGCATGTCCGCGTGAGTCCCTTCATGTTTGTACGAGGGATTGTCAAACAAGAATCTATTTATTTAATATATTTTTTATATTCCAATGAAAAATAGATTATTTTGCACCACAACCAAAATAGATAAGTTTTGTTTCCCAACGTCAGAAAAAATAGATAACGTAACCATATCGGCAAAGTAAATAATCTATTCCGAATATCACAGGATAATTCTCAATAGTTCAATCTCATCATGTATTCGGATGTAACCATAGACTACTGGCCAATGACGAACCTTTATTGCTCCACCCAAATATGCCATGCATCCAATCCTACAGTATTGTGGGTTACTTCGACCTCGACATTGTGGTGACCAAATTTTGAGCCAATCAGCGCGCTTCATGAGTGATGGTTATTTTTGAGTGCAATCGCCGCCGTTTGGCTTGGCCAAATGCACATGAAGCGACAGAAAGCTTTGAATACAATGCTGTCGTTGCGAAATGCACTTACAACACGTTAATTGCGTGAATGTCCCGATTCACAGTCAACAGCACAAACTTCAAGATCTTTGAGATACTTAAGCTAACGTTATTCGAATAAGTTATCCTATCTCATGTGCGTAATAAAATATTTTTATATATATTTTCGCCACGGGAATTTCTTTTTCATCCTCCAGAAAAAACAAGCTCCATCCGCTAGATTAGTCTAGTTTGCGGGCGCCGCTGTACATGCGCGCGCTCGGGCGATAGCGAGCTTGTAAATACCGCGCAATTTCATTTCATTCTCCAGAAAGGATACAGTAAGTACTACTAGTACTACGTAGTAATCTATCAACCTACTGGTTGAGAATAGGTAAAACATAGATATTTTAGTACCCCTGCGCACATGCCCACGACTTCATGTTGTCGTCGCACTAGCAGTTGAATTTCTTTGCGCTCGCCACGGGACACGTGGCCACCATCACGACGCTCCTCCCGATCATCATGTTGGAAGTCCAACGTGAAAGCGGACATGACCACGAAGTGACACAAGCAAACGAACGATTGACGACGACAGCGTCATATCTACATTTAGGAACGGATGAAAGTAATTTGAGCCGATTGGGCGTGGCATCGTGTCTGGGAGCGCATCGTAACAGCATTACTAGTATAAAAAGTGGAGACACCTTAATAGTTTTTCATCTTGGCATAACGAAGTACTACGTAATAATCACATGGGCCAGGCTTGCCAAGTGCTGGTACTGTAGATAGGTCGTTTACAGCAGGTTACTCGTTGATCTTGTAAAGCGACTTCCTGGATTTCCTATTCCACGCCGACTACCAGTAGACCCCGACGAAAACCCTGTTACAGTACGTACTCATGTTTACACTGTTAGTTGAAACAATTGCCCAATGTCTAATGTCTGGACAACTGCACGTCGCGGGCAAACGACTTGATTTGGTCAACTCTTCGGTGACTATGCCCCGATAATTTGATTCTTACTGACGGTAGTTCTACCCATCACTTCCTCATTTTGACTTGGAATCTTGGGTGTTGGCCCCAGTCGACCGAAACCATGAAGTAGTAGTGATGCTGCTGGTCCTCCCAAACGTTATATTCGCATCGACCATTCGTCATTCGATGCCGACTTCATTGGGTAGAGCTTACAAAACAAGGACTAAACACTAAGGAAAAATGATACTTAGTGAGTGTAGTCGAGTGTGCGATGAATTGCTGACATGAGCATTAAGCTGATATACAGTACTGTCACGAGTTGTTTGAGTCGCTGGGAACTGGAGGATGACGAACATAGCCATCCTTGGCGACATAAGCGAGGATAAAAGTATGTCTAGACGAAGGAGTCGTTTTTGGTGCAAGGCAACTTTGTATTCGATTCCGCTGTTCTAAATGTGTACGTATGGTCTTAAAAATTTTGGCCGCCAGTTACGATGCTTTTTGGAAAAGTATCCTCGAGAATACCATTACGTATTTTTAATATAAAATAAGTATATCATAATTTAAAAAGATGACATCGAAATGTATCATCAAGTTAACATAAGTTAACATCAATGTTTGTCAGAATTTATGAGTGTTAACTATCCAGGAGGCTGCGGAAAATGACGAACATATCCATCCTTGGCGACATAAGCGAGGATGAATGTATGTCTAGACGAAGGAGTCGAGTTTTGGTGCAAGGCGACTTTGTATTCGATTCCGCTGTTCAAAACGTACTAGTATACAATATGGACTTCAAATTTTGGCCGCCAGTTGCGATGATTTTTGGAAAAGTATCCACTGCATTCAACGAGAATACAGTCTGCACAATAAGTATAGACGCACCCCAACATTTTGGGTTCACAAAAGATCTGCCGATGCTACAGCTACGCTAGTTGTATGTGCAGAAATTTAATAAACCAAAACGGTATTCCCCAAAAGGAATAAAGGCTGCTTGTTGCCGTTTACAAAAAAACCCCAAAATTTCGAAGATTTGGTTGCACAATTAGTATAGACTCACATTCAATCGATACATTTATTTATCGATACATTGGCCACGGCGGAGGATAACTTGGGCCATTCGTGTTGGCATACCTTCGGCCAAATTAGATAGGTACCCCTGATCGATTTCAGCCCATGATTTCTCAATCTGAGCTTTCAATTCGGCTCTGCTTTCAAACTGACGACCGTTTTCGTAGACTTGCCTCCCGAGAACGCCCCAAACATTCTCAATCGGACTCAAATCTGGGCTCTTGGCAGGCCAAGGCATTGTTGGCCATGGCATTTCAGCAAGTTAGGCCATGATGGAGTGGGAACGATGAATACTGGCATTATCTTGTTGAAAAATGGCTTCATGGTTAGGGACCAAGTCGACAAGTTCGCGCATTCCGGGCAACTGGTGCGATCGCAGGGTTTCTTGGTACTTTCAGGAGTTTTGGCGACCCTCCAGGAAGGGTAACGACGTCTTGTTGTAGAAACTCATGCCACCCCACACCATAACCGAGCCACCTCTAGCAACACGTTTCGAGTACGTCTCGACATCCTGGCGCAAATCTTGCCAGTAATAGCTCTTTTTGGGCTGAATAAAAGCCATTATCTAGCCCTTCTCTTGCTCGGTGATGTTTGGCACCCTTGGCATCCCTGGGGGTCGCTTTTTCCGTCTTGAGATTGCTGGTGGTAGCTCGTCATGATTGTAAAACATGTGTACCAATTTGGAGGCTAATAATTGGCTAAAAAGTGCAAAAAATGTCCAATAGAAGCTTCGAATTCAAAGTGCGTCTATACTTTTTGTGCAACCAAATTTTCGAAATTTTGGTTTTTTGTTGTGAATGGCAACGAGCAGCCCTTATTCCTTTTGGGGAATGCCGTTTTGGTTTAGTACATTTCTGCACTTACAACTAACGTGGCTGCAGCATCTGCAGATCTTTTGTGAACCCAAAATCTTGGGGTGCGTCTATACTTATTGTGCAGACTGTACCGTTACGTATTTTTAATATAAAATAAGTATGTCACAATTTAAAAAGATACTACTTCCAGACGGAAATAGAAGTACCCTAAGGGGAAAATTTGCATATCTTGACTATTTTTATAAATATAAAAAATCTGAAGACATGCTCATAAAATACAGAAGACAACGTGTTTTCTGGACTAGAAGGTGTAAAAAAAAACAGCACATCGAAATCAACAGGACGATTTAAAATTCAGATACTAAAAGCAAGATAAATTCATACGGATACAAAGATTTTTTATCCGAAAATCAGAATGTCGATCAAGTTTGAGCGGCAAATTGAGTTGCAAAACCCCGCGTTTTCATGAAGGAGCTGACCGCTGACCAGCGACGTGCTGTCATAGACCACCTTCTCGTACGCGTTGTTCAGCACCCGTGCAAGCTGCAATGTGGGGCCATACTTGAAGTGGCTCGCATCTTTGGGCGCAACCCACGAACTATTAGCAAGATATGGCAACGTGCCAACGTGTCGCTTGGTGGCGACAACTTGCCCAGCCGCGAAATGATATGTGAGCACACCGCCAGCATGAAGAAAGGCCGCGTTGGGCGCAAACAAAAGTACACCGACCTCCCCGAACGTATACGTGCCGTGCCAGCATCCCAGCGCACGACAATAGCGTACGTCGCCCATGCCATCGGAATACCACCAAGCACGCTCAAGGACTACTACAAACGTGGTCTTATATTATAGTAAAGTACAACTCTAACGTCAAGCCCAAGTTGACCGACGTCAACAAGACTGCCCGCGTCAAATGGGCCGTCGACTTCGTCGAGCCCACCGACACGTACGCGTTCCACGACATGTACGACTACGTACACGTGGACGAAAAGTGATTCCACGCCACGCGAATCCGTTCCCGGCTCTACCTCCTGCCCGGAGAGGAGCCTCCACATCGGTCGACTCAAAGCAAGCGATTCATCACCAAGGTGATGTTCTTGTCGGCAGTTGCACGACCTCGATGGGACAACGCCAAGTCCGAATGGTTCGATGGTAAGATCGGCACGTGGCACTTCACCCAGCATGTTCGGGCAGCCCGCTCGTCTCGAAACCGTCCCGCGGGGACAATGGAGCTGCGACCTGTCAACGTAACACGCCCTGTGCACAAGAAGATGCTCATCGACAACGTCATACCTGCCATCAAAGCTCTCTGGCCGGCCGACTGTTCGAAGACCGTCTTCATCCAACAGGACAATGCCCGCCCGCACGTCCCACCTAGTGACGCCGACATTGTCAAGGCCTGCACGTCCGATGGGTGGGCGATGAAGTTGAAGTACCAACCACCGAACTCGCCGGACATGAACATCTTGGACCTCGGGTTCTTCCGCGCAATCCAAGCACTCCAGCAGACGCACCACTCGAACACCTACGAAGGCATCGTGAATGCGACGAACAACGCGTGGAAGGACGTAGACCCATGGTCGTTGGAGCGCAACTTTTTGACGCTGCAATCATGCTTGCGTGAGGTCATCGGCTGCGCCGGCGGGAACTCCTACAAGATTCCGCACATGAAGAAGGCTGCTTTGAAGAAATGTGGCCGCCTACCCGAGTCTGTGTCGTGCGGCAAAGACGTCTACGACGATGGTTGCACACTGCTCGGCCAGGTCGACCTAAGCACCGTCATGCTTGAGCTGTCTCTGCAGACAGCGCGCGACTTGGAA